TTCGTGATTTATGAATTTATTACTTTTTAAGACTATTTGAGTGACAAGTGGGTATAAGAAGTATATATACCCAGTACAGACACATTATTTGAAGATGGTTTCAAATTATTAAGGGTCTTTTTTCGAAAGTATTAAGAGGGGTTAATAACAAAAAAATGTCAAATATGAGACGAATTAATGGTAACTAAAAATGTGATTTTTATACGCAAATAATTATAATCACAGTGTTACTAACTACCATCATGATCAATCTTACACCATATATTTAATACGAGTAATATTTTTGTTCATATGTTATACTCGCATCAGGTATTCACTACCCCTCCATCCCGTTAAGATTGTTCCATTTTTTCTTTTCGGTCGGTCCCACTAAAATTGTCTGATACCAAATTTAGTAAAATTTGTGTAGTTCTAAATCATTCTTACTATATTCTGTTAGAAAAATGGTTCTACAAATTAATATTATGTTTATTAATATTACTAGATTTTTTAATGGATATGTTATATGTTTAACCATGTCATTATATGACAGTGGAAATCTAATGAATGGTTTAACTAACTCGGATTTACATATGTTAAAAATTTGGAATGAATTTTTCAGAGCACAAAGTTGGATAAAGTTGGGATCATTTCGTAATAATAAAAATACTTTTTATTAGATATATAAATATTTTGTTACGTATTTGTGTTTATAAAATATATTATCTCTGTCCCACTAACATTGGGACATGAAGAGGTGACACGGTTATTAAGAAAAGTGAGTTTTTGTGATTGATAAAATACGAATGATTTAGAGCCACACAAACTTTACCAAATTTGGTATGAGAGAATCTTAATGGGACTGCCTGAAAAGGAAAAATGGGACAATCTTAGCGAGACGGAGGGAGTAATAACAAAGGATTCATACAATTGAGGAACGCTAAAAATGTTACTGATCAATCTTTTGTAAACATCCAATTCAATAAGCAGAAACATTAATTGATAGTATAACTTTAAAAATCAAAATTTTCACATTATAATTACTAATTGCTAACTATTATTTTACACATTATTGTTTAGAGAAAATGAGTATGAAATCATTAAATATGGAAACGCAAGCTACACCTTATTATTTTATATTATTATAGAAAACTATTGTTATTAATAATATAACTATTAGACTAAAGTTTTATGATCGGGTGCGCCTAAGTTTGGTCTGATGACCTAAACTGATCTGGTCTGGTAAGTGTCGGATGTATGTATATTTTACTAACGTATTCTGATCTGATCAAGTCTATTGTATTTAAATTTGATCCGATTTGGTGTAGTTTCTTTTAATCTAGTGTGGTCTAGCTTATAATTGAAAACATTTAAATCAAAATATTATAAACATTCTGATTTTTTTTCTTTGCGTTAAGTAAAGTCCCGCCAATTATGTATCACTATTATTATATTATAATAAAAATAATTATTATTATCTATCATCATCATCATTATAGATTATTTTGAATTGAAAATATTCCAATTACTCCAATATTCATGTAACTCTTATTTTTTAATGGGTATGAAGCATTAAATGTCTAATTAGAGGGAAAAGCAAGGTGTCACACCTTGTTACTTTATATTATTATGGATATTCCAATTACGATATATTAGGTTCAAAGGGAAAACACAATTACACAACTGTGGACTGGCTTGGGCGGTACTAGCCAAGATATAGTACACTCATGCCATGAGCATCTAGGATAAGTTACGCTTTTAATTATCTCTATATCTTGATACGTTCAAGTAAGGTATGACATGAAACCTTCCATATAGATCACCTATGCTGGTGGAAGAAGGCCGCTTCTATGAGAGTCTATGGCACGAGATAAATTCTCCGGTGCACGATATACTCTCGAAAACACTAGCTGAACCAGGAGGTGTTCAAGGCCGAAACGAACACAAACGTGAGAACCAAAGATGCACTCGGGGCTCTGTGTGTTATTCATTGTCTAGGTTTACACTATGGCTAACTGTTCAAAGCAAAGTGCTACCGATTGTCCAGTAAATCCGATGGATATACACTAAGGCAGGTTCAAAGTTTCACGACTACCTAACCCTATGCAGAGTTCCCATCTTCCCATGTCAAATTCCAATCTACTTCCTGTCTTTAAGCCAATTTCCCATTCATGTGTGGGGATTGTTGGAAAAATGGTTCTACAAATTAATATTATGGTTATTAATATTATTTGTAGTAAATCATCTTGAAATGAATGAGAAATTGTTTCCCGAAAGATAAGTGTGAAATTATATCTCACACATAAACACCGCCGCAGGTGCCGTCCAGTCGGCCGGGTCGGGTTTCGTGTTAGAGTCTTAAACCGTCCGCCCGAGTATATGGCTTAAAGATAATTCTATTTGTCGTTCTCAATTATTTGGATAATGTTTGGCAATAGACACATCCTTTGTTTTTAGAAGGAGTGTCACAACCTTTCTCTCTAAAGGTGTCTTTTGGGTGGAGAGTCTCCTGGCCAGAGCTCTATATATACCCATGATTGCCTCCATTTTCATCATATCCGAAAATTCACAAGCAATCCTCCATATTCTCTCTTCCTTCGTTGCATCTTTGAGTTCGCCGGATCCCATCGGGAGTGAAGAACCGTTCTATCCTGGGAGATGCTTGCTACGTGTGTCGGGCAAAAACGTCTTAAGGAAACAACGCTTTTGTTGGGCTCGGTTGATACAAGTATTTTCTTTTACTTCTATATATCTAATTAATAATGCATGCAGATTTACATGATTTTGCATAACATATTCTTCTTTTTTCAATTCAATATCAACCACATAAATCCACTTATATTGGTATGCGTGTCACTCCCTTTTGTACCATTGTTAGTGGGATGGAGGGGGTAATATTTAAAAAAAACTCCTAAAAACTTTATTCAATCGTTTAGTAATAACTATTAAAAAAACTAATTATGTGAAAAACATTAAAAAAAGACAATATAAGTAAATGATATAGAATTTTAGGCATAGTAAAAAAAACTCATCTAAGTTTTACCTGGTGCTAAAATTATCAACACATCAAAGGCTCAAATTGTTGTATGACTTTGACCCTCTATAAATAAATTCATCCATCCTACTAAGATTGTCTATTTTTTTTTTTGCATCGTTCCATTAAGATTATCTCATATCAAACTTGAAAGAAAAAATGTGATTGTAAATCATTCTTACTTTATTCTTACTTTATCAATTCAATATAAACCACTTCTTAACAACTGCATCACTTCAATGTTAGTGGAAGACAAGTAGTTCTGGTATAACTACTAATCAGCGTTTATTGCTATGTAGATCATGAACTATGTCACTGCTACTATCCGAGATCAGTAAATTTATGGTCGATGTCTTTTTTCTATGCTATGATTTAGGGATAGGAATACGAAAGTAAGCTAGATCATTGGCAAGAATTCTTAATAATAGGAAAAGAATTTGGACACAGTAAGAAGAACTCAGCCGTATAGCCCGTATGTGAGTTTGATTATGAACTATATCTAACTACTCTTCAATCAGCTATTTAAAAAAAATGGAATTACGTACAACTAATCTTAGTTTAACAACTAACTAATCCTTTAGCTATCATAAACTCGTTAGTCATAATCCCACGTGACCACATTGCAATCCATCCAAAGAAGAGTGAACGCACTCCCACCAAGCTGGTTCTGGACCCCTGTTCTTGCCAAAGAGGCATATTTGGTCTAATAGAAAAATAAGTTTAACGGAATGCTAGTTCTGATCTAAGCTTTTAAAAACAATAGGTCAAAAGTTAGGGCTCCATATTGAAAGTTTTGACATGGTGATTATGGTTTTATCACACAACCTAACACTCCCTGCTTTGAAAGTTTTGATATGGTGATTATGGTTTTATAGAGTAATGGAAGTATAATAGTTCATAGGTGTAAATGTAATAATTAACTTACAAGTAAATTTGCCACACAAAAAAATATTACAAGTAAATAAGTAATCTTTTTTTTACCCCAAGGGTCGGGGGCGGAGTGGGCTAGGGGTGTTTGGGGTAAACAGGGCTAAAACTCGCTCCATGGAGTTTCAAACCTGAGACCTTCTGTATGGGAGAGTCACTCGATGATCAGCTAAGTTAGATCGCTTCCTTATAAGTAATCATTTTTATACTATTCATTTTTCTACGGAAAACTTTCAACATGTAACTCAAACACACTTTTGATGATCCATATACTCTTGTTTTGAGTTGTCAAAGACAAAATAAAAACATAGAACAATTGTTGAGGTCAAGTCCTCGCAGTCCAAAGGCCCAACACAATTCATTGAACTTTCCTAGGATCTTTTAGGGATTCCGTGCATTTAGTGAGTGATTAATCAGAAGACAAAAGCAATGGACTTGGAACAATTACAACACATCATTGCCGATTTGCCGAGCCCTAACACTCTATTTTTAAGTTGAGAGTTTACAAAAGAATCTGGAGAGAAAAGCTAAGCTCTTGAACACAAATTTGCTAACTCTTTGCAATGAAACAAATGCAAGTATTTATAGGTGTAGAGGGCAACGTGGTAACCCCTGAGTTGATAGCCTCCAACCATAAAATCTCTCATATCTAGCGCATTAAATGTGTTTCCCGCTAATTACCTCGTGAAACTCTAAGCATATAGGTAGCAAGCAGCAGGAAAGCTCTAAGTGTTAGAGATTTGTGATCTGTCTTGATCAGTCCGATCGAGGGTATCTGAAAATGGGGATTTGCCGATCGGGCCCTTAGCACTGGTAGGGCCACCGGGGGTATTTGGGTCTACCTCTGTTTGACCCAATACCACAGCAACAATATTCCTCCATTTCAAAAAATGACCTAAGTTAACTTGCACTTTGAATAATAAAGTAAAAGTTAGGTGGTTGAGATTTGTGCGGAGATAGAAATAATGTTAATCACATATTCATTATTTTAAATGGGAGTGACAAAGTGCTTTGGGACGGCTAAAAAGAACATTTAGCAAAGTTTTTGAATCGGATGGAGTATTAAGTAGACGCATTGCAATATTTTGTTGTTGGCATGACAACAGTCAAACTGAAAGTATGAGACCGGACTAGAAGCGGTCGGTTTTATAGTTGTAAACCACAATATCAGGATGTTCCCCAAAATAAGCCAAGAGTGGCCAATTAAAGCTTTTTTGAATTCAAAGTAACTTGAAGATCTGGTTTCCAACCAGCAGCAATCGAACCAGATTAAGAACCACAAAAGAGCTGGTTTGAATACAGCCTTACACAAATAATAAATGTGTACCGAAATATATGTTGGCTCCTCTTTTTGCTTCTCAATCATTCTTGTATGTGAATATATGGGATTGATACCTTCCCATGGAATACAAATAAAAAAAGTTAATATGAGGGTGTGAGTGTCGTTTCTATAATCTGGTCTTTTCATGTGGACGCCAAAAGCCTTTCTTGCCAACAAGAAACTGTTGCTGGGTTATAGTTACTGACCAGTGGAGTGAGTGTAGAATTGGGCTAAGCTTATTGATCAAATCCATGCTGTCTTGGACCAAAAGTATCCCGCCTGGTCTCAATATTCTATCCACCTCCACTGTCATGTCTATTATATTGCATCTGCAAGGAAATTTGAGGGAAATTTACAAACACATTCGAATCTAAAAAATTTATTCTAGAGTTCAAGCTCTAGATTTAAACAAAAACTAGTAAGGCTACTATAACAAAGACAGAAATCTATATGCACATGTGGGGAGGTTAAAATGCAGACTAAGAAAGAAGAGATGCGGGGAGGTTCAAATGCAGAGTAAGATGTACTACGTATCAGAAACGTGGGAGGAAAGAACATGTGGGGAGGTTCACATGCAGACTAAGAAAGACTAAAATATATACACATATATACACATTTGAAGGCATTGATCACATTTCTCATTAGCTTTCGTTTGTTTTTATATTTTCAATTAGCTTTCAGCCCTCAATAGCGGATCTCTCTCATTAGCATTTGTACTTTTCTTTAGTTTTTAATAAACTTTTTCTTTTGCGGAAAAAAAAAATGTTTGAAAACATTGATCATAATTCATTCACCATTGCATTTTTGGAAGCAAAAACAAACACAACAAAACAACAATGCATTTTTTTCTTTACTTACATTTTCCAAGACGCAAACCAACTTACATACCATGTTAGTATCTTTCATTTCCCTATATTTTCTTCAAAATACCCAACCATATCCTAAAGCATCTAGAAGCAAATTTGGATAATCAGCTTGCCATTTTTCGTTAGATCTGTGCACCCCACCTCCTCAGCTCCTTTACTAGTGGATCCACACACATTGGATGGTCATTATTAGCCAAGGCTAAGCAGTGGATTTAGATTAGCTTCTAACATTGGCCTAATAATAAATGGAGTAGTCCGTACCTTTGAGCTAACTTTCCAAAGAGGGAATTTGAATGTAGAAGATCATATGTACGAGGATAGGTGTTGAAGGATTCACACCAGTCATGATATATTCCAATCAACCCTCTATCAAATATAATAGGTAACGTGTCTGGCCCACTAATAGGAACAACATTCATTACCCATAACGGCAAGTTAACTAATGCTGCAGCAAACCTGACAAAGAAAAGATTATTTAATATCACAAACAAGACTCAAGAAGCAGATGTGACACATGCAGTGCCTGTTTCATAGAAATGTATTCCTACTTGAGACTTTATGACTCACAATTTCTACCAACCACTACTTTTTACCATGCTAGCTAACTATTTTGATTAAAAGAATTACAAAAAATGCCTAATGAAAAGAAGTGATACTTCTGCTCTCATTTTTTGTCCTGAAAAAAGGTCATGCTTCAAATGTTTTTTGACCCAAAAGGCAACCTTGTTTCATTAAATGGAGCTAATTGTAAACGTAATTCCCCAAAAGTACTCCAACCAAGTAAAATATGAAAAATTTAGTTACAAACACTGTAAACATTATAAGTAGGACTTTAAAAGATTTATTAGTTGTACAACAACAACATCCAATCCTTGGTCCCAAAAGAATTTGGGGTCGGCTAACATGAATCGGTATATGAAATAAGAGCTAAAACTGATAAAAATGATAAAAAAGAGCTGTAACATTGACCAAATATTACTCTTACTGTATGTACTTTGTATATAAAAATTAACTAGATTTAGTAAATTTTGGGTGGTGAACCACAATTACAGTAATTTCAATTCATTCAACAACTTCAGTCCAAAATTTACCCACAAACGAGATTGTATGCACAGAGTTATGTAATAACACTCCAGCTTACCCTCCATAACCGGCATTCATATCCATTACATTCCGAACGCCTGTCCAGTTTATGGCAAGTCCTCCTAGGTAAACGTCAGAGAGAAGTGCATCCCAGTGTTTGGTATCCTTATTGAAAGTCTCTTCATCATCACCTACTAAAGACAGGCTTGAAGGTCTGTTGCTGAGCCTCATAGGCCAGGGTACAGGCCACTTGTATGAATTTCCATTGCTAGTTATGGGAAGTTGTGGAAGACAGCTGTCAAGGCGTGCATACCTAGTAGGTAATTTATGAATCAATTAGGACTCATTTGGCTGATAAAAAGTAGTATGGATAGGAAAAGTGAAGATAGAAAAGAATTGGACGGATAGAGAATGTGCGTGTGGGGGGGGGTATTTGATACTTTTTTATTATATATGTCTATTTTATAAAGACTAAGAAATCTAAAGTCTAAACATATGTAAAAAAATCGTATTTGATGATCGTTTGCATTTTCCAAGATAACCAAACAAAGAAATAACTTTCCTTAGCACTCCTTGCGAGAAAAGTAAAACTTCATTTTCCATAGCATTCTCCAATATCCAAAAATATCCTTAATGAAAAGACAGGAACAAAAATATCAGTACATACCATGAACTATTTAGTCTACTTGTCTGATCACAAAGAGGAGGATTGTTTTCTTGACGCCCCTTATAACAGGACGGTGAAGTGGGCTTTTGATATATAACCATCCCAATTGAAGTAGATTTATCATATGTCTTCTTCACTACCTTCCAGCATAGTGCTGCAGTCAGAGAAACCATGGCTGCAAAAGGAAAGATCTTTTGTCTATTAAATGAATTGCTTCGAAGTCGACTAAAATCTTGTTTTGGTTGGGGAGTTTCAGGAGGGGAAGGAGATGCATGGTTGGAAAGAGAGGGAAGATGAAAATTATATAGAAATACACAATTTAATTAATCATATAGTAATTTTCTATGTAACACTAAGAACGAGAGATGTATTAGTAAAAAATAATCTCCCACTCCAATATTCTCCAACCATTTAAAACCTATAGGAGTGGAAATTTTTACTGTAATAATTAGAAACTCTATGGCTTCATTCTGGAAATGATCAATTGTCAGCTGAAATGTCCCCTGCCTGCTACAAGTGCCAAACAAAACAGTGATTGGTCTAATGATACTTTAAGATTATCTTTGAATCATGATAAATGCTAGGAAAAGGGAAAATGCCAAGTTATACTCCGTATTTATTAACTCTTGTATTTGCTTTTGCCTAGAAAAACAAAATATAAGTTTTTTACATTACACGTATTTAGATTTTTTGTTCTTCATATGACAGAAATAAATAAATAAATATATATATATATATAAATAAATAACTAAATAAATATATAAATATATAAATAAATAAATAAATAGATAAATAAATAAATAATTAAATAAATAAACAAATAAAATAAGTATCAACAAATATCTAAAATAAACGTATTGAGTTTTGTCCTATATATTTTATTTAGTCCACATTTTCTTTCCTTCATAATTTCCTCTATAGTTTTCTTCTTATTATCTTTCCCATGTATTTTCCAAAATCCAAGCAGAGCCTAAAATAAATTTTGAAAATGTAGATAACAAGTAGGCAGGAGCCAAAACCTTCCCAAACTTGACGATCTCTTTCATCATCCCGGTATACTGGAGTGGCAGACCATATGAAATACCCTCCAGGCCTAAGAACTCTGTTTAGCTCCATCAATGGTTTCCCACCTGCAAGTCAATGTACACCCAGTTCACATACAGAATAATAGGAAGTATAAGCTGACAATTTTCATTCAATGTACGTACCATCTGCATCCCAGTGAACCCTGCAACGCGCACAATGAATCAAGTCAAACCCATTGTCTGGAAATGGAAGCTTTTGAGTTCCAATCACTGAGAGTGTAGCTGGGATTCCACGTTCAAGTGCAAACTGTATTTGAGCCTCGTGTTCATCCTTCGGTGCGAATGACATTGTAATCACATTTTTATCCAGCAAAAACCCACCAAAACTAGCAACACCACAGCCAACATCAAGAACAACCCTTGTGTTTTTTCCCCATTTAATTTTTGGTAAAGCCTGGATAGTAAAAAACCAGAACAATCAGATGCAATGCAAATTGGGTAGATTATGATATACTAACAAACTAGGGATGATATGCTACCTTCTCTATAGATTCAACATAGTGGTTCACCCCCTCTTTGAATTGAGTTCCCCCACCAGGAAAAACAAAATAATCCCCAGATTTGACAACCCATCTCTGGTCCTTTTTGTAATCCACAAGTTTAGGATGTGGCACATTGTTATACCATACCTGTGAGAAATTAAAATGGGATTAGTGAAGGGGTTTAAATTGATTTTTATTAGCTTCAGGTTGATCAGCAAACTTCTACTTCTCATGCTTTGTCTGTGTGGATTTGTAGTGTTAAGCAATTTTAGACAATTGAATATTTCATCAACACTCAATTCATAGGGTAAGCTAACAAGGTGAAGACAAGCGAATTCCATATAATATGGTACTAAGTAGCGCTGAATGATAAAGTAACTCATTAAGATGCACCTACTAAGGATAAACTATATTCTTACCACCAAAAAGATAACAATCTCACCATGTCCCTGCTCTTGGGCCACGGAACGGGAACCTGATAACCAGCCGGAAGTGGAACCAAACACCGGGGAGTGGGGTTGGGGCAGTGCCGCTCCCGATGCTCCATGTGCCTCCTCGACTTCAATGCGCTTATAGCTTTCCAATTATCAAGGCAAGGTATGTAATCAACCGCCACCGCACCGTCACACAACTTCCACTGGATCGGATCAGAATCGGAATCGCCGGCAACATTCTCATGACCGCCGATCGAGATGGAATCAGGCGGGTGCTGCGGTAGTGAGGGAGGTGGAAGAGGGCTTGGAGCAGAATGAAACGGGATGGCAGCGGCTTTGGAATCGGGGCCGGTCAGGGCGATGTCGGTGGCTGTGTAGAGTTGGGATTTCTGAGAGTTTGAGATGAGGAGAAAGGTGAGGAAGAAAATGAGAAGAAAGAGAGAGACAATGAATGGCAATTTCAGTTTCCTTTCCTTGAAGATGTCACGCACTGATGTAGTACAAGTTGACATTTCTGAGTATTATCTGAAGCTCTGAGCTCTTCACAGTTACTCTCTCCCCCTCTTAAGAACATTAAAATCATGATCATTGCAGTTAAATAATTAGATCGTTATTATTCCCTCCATCCAATCTTCTAAAAGGCCCGGAAAGGCGCCGCAAAGGTGGGCCTAGGCGCAAGGCGTGGCCCATACGCCCCGCATACCCATTATGCGTGACCGAATGCGGGCTGGACTACTAAAAAGTAAAATTTTAACTATAAGGGTTGCACATTTACGAAGTAGAACATGTGTTGCGATTTGCGAATTATTTCAGTCTGAGGGGGCTGACTTGTTTTATAGTGTGTTGGAAAGGAGCAAATTTTCTTCTCCTTCCGGTGTGGGAATGTGGCATGCAACAAAATAAGAAAAAGTAGCCTCCTAAAGTTATCATGAACGAGAAAAGACTCCTGGTTGCAAGACAAATAATACTTGGCTTAAAAGCATTTTTCAACTACTACTCTTAAGAGAGAGTACCTCATAAATAATCCTAGTACGAAATGTTAGTGACCAACATTTTGTTGCTATTTTTAGGCAATAATTATTGCTATATATACACTATAATATTTATTATTGTTCTATAATTGTATAATCATAAGTACTATTATCACAGGATTATAGATTATTATATACGAGTATTCATAATTTCTATTGTTATAAAATAATTATTTTTAATCGTTATTATAATTACAATAATTATAAGTTCATTATTATATGATAATTATTACTCTTAATATAAAAAAAGCCGAGGCCTACGCGGGAGTTTTTAAATAAATTACTTTTTCTAGAAAAAATGATAAAAATTTTAAAGAACCAATTTCATAATCATTTCATATAGGAAATCTAATGAGTAGTAAAAGCAATATTATATCATTTTGTACTTGATCTTTTTTATATATTTAAATGTTATATATATATATATATATATATATATATATATATATTGATCAAAATAAAACTTAAGTTCAATCTTGAATAATATTTTTTTAGATATCTATTCCTTTCTATCATATATTATTGTAAAATATTACTTCTGTCCCATTGAAAGGTTCTTCGCATAACAAAATGACACGGTTATTTAGATAATAATTAAATAAAGTAGTTCGAGTATATTTTGAGAAATAATTTTGATAGGTATATAACATAATGAGGTTAGTGTTGATAGTTGTGATGTTATAAATGTATTAAATTTAATATTTTATGATTAATATGTTGTTAAGATTGTTAATTATTTTCTAAAATGGAATTACGAACCTTTATATAGGAGCCTAAAAAAGAAAAGTAAGAACATTTATATAGGACACAGGACTAGAGGAGTAGTAATTATCAACAGAAATCTTAAACGCCTTTTCACGCCTTGACTTCGCCTATTCCCGCCTAGGCTTCAAAGGCTTGAGGCTTGGCCTTGCCGCCTTGCCACTGTGAAACAATTTTAAGTATTTACTTAAAATTGATCGCAAATAATAATATATGAGAATATCGGGTACAATCTCTAAATATGAATCCTCTGATTCTTCACTTGCAATTTGATATGAATATAATTAAAGAATTTAATTAAAAATTAAATCTCTAATTCTTCAAATATTCGAACGTTCTTCGGATCTTCGAATCTTCGTTCTTGAGATCTTCGAATCTTCGAACCTTCGTTCTTCGGATCTTCAAATCTTCTTGAATGCAAAATTCAATATTGAAGGGCCTCCGGTTTCGAGTAGCTTGATCTTCAACAAAAGGGCCGTTATGTGGCTTGATCTTCTGTTAAAGGGCTTCCCGGGATATATGGCTTGATCTTCAATTGAATATTGATTCAATCTTCATATGAATATCTTCAAATCTTCAAAGATTCGTTCTTCATATCTTCGAATCTTCAAAGCTTCGTTCTTCAGATCTTCGAATCTTCAAGCTTCGTTCTTCAGATCTTCGAACGCTCTTCAACTTTTTGCTTTGTTTGATCAAGAATAAACAAAATCACAAAGGATTGATCATATATTCTTGACAAAAAACGTGGCTTGATCTCTTCCTCTTCTTCGGAATCCTTCAGAGCCTTTCGGGAGTTCTTCAGAGCTTTGCTGCAGCGTTTCTTCGTCTGGAAGTTCTCCCCTTTTTCTCTCAACTGAGACCCCTATTTATAGGTGTGGAGGGGGTGAAAATAGGGCTTAGGGTTGCTGAAATTCGTCCATACCTCATGGGCCTCAATTAAAATGGGCTTTGGGCTCTATTTGCTTGCATTTTAATGGCTAGAAAAATCAGCACTTATATAATGTATCTGGACAGCCTTTTTAACAAGGTTCACAGCCATTTCTCATGCATTTGGATAGATTTCTTGACTGGATTCATTGCTCTCTTTATCAATTGGATCATGCCTCTTCTATATTGGGCCGCTTATTTGATAATAGGTTCAAAATAGAGAAATTAATAGGATCGGTCCATTCTTTTAAGAATTGAATTAAATTAATCGGACATTTAGGTGACCCGAATTAATTTAATCCCAAAATTAATGAATCCATATTAATATTTTCTTCTTGATAAGGCCCAACAACCATTTACAAATAGTCCACTAGAATCTGACGTTGGCCCAATAAATTCAAAAGAGGCCCAATAAATTTTACATGTCCACAAATGCCCCCTCGAGACTCGATTGATCGTTGCTAATATAAGAAAGAGCGAATCTCGAATTAAAAATTGTAGAAAGAGGTATGTTTGCTGATTTGGCTTGTGAAATCCAAATGACCCACTTAAGAACACGTAGCCCATAATACTACAATGAGGCCTGGTGGATATCCCAAAGCAATTAGAGCCCTTCGAATTAAATATTTTAAACAACCTGCGGGAATACGGAATCACAATTGTCATCGTACAAGGCTATGGCTCCTCCTGTGAGTCCTACTAGGACTTTCTTTCTTCTAATTTTAAGATCCAAACTTGTCGCACTAATGTCTATAAATATCAACTTAGCCTATTCTCTTTTGCACCTGTAACCTTACTCCGGCAGTCTGCAAAGTGATCAAAATTCCTGAAGCTTGTAAAGCACTAGGAAGCAACGAAGCAATAGGTGAATTTTCTTTTCTCTTCTTTCTTTATCAAGTTGTTTTCTTTTTACCGTATTGCAGGGGTATCTAAAGATTCGGAAATATCATGCTCGGTTAAACTCATCTTTAATCAACTGGCGTTCATAGTCCAGAGGCAGAGAATTTCTTTTCAAAATCACAATTGCAGAAGAAGTTTGGCAGAGAGAAGGATCTACGATATCAATTCGCTGCTCTTGCCTGGTGCTCTGTCCAAGAAGACCAGGTTCGGTTGACTGCGGACAACACCGAGAGCAGGCCGTTGCTCGTCTTACTTGTCGCCGGACTGATGGTGCTGCTGGCTTGGTTGTTGGTTCCGTGGACAAGAGGTGATGTTGGTGACTTTGCTGCTGGCGTGATTGTTCGAGGTTTGAGGAAGAAAACCGGAGAAACTCTGCTTTCCGGAGATTTCAGTCGCTGCTGCGGTTAAATCCGAGAGAGTCGTCGTCCTAATTTGCCGGAAGGAGGAGAACCCGAGTTCTCGTTTTTCATTGCTGCCAGAGAGGCGAAGACTGAAGCTGGCTAGTTTGTTCAAAGAAGAAGGCAATGAAGGATTCCATTCCATTGCAGGTTATTCAAAGAAGAACATAATGAAGGATTCCATCCATAGCAGGCTTCCCAAAGAAGAAAACAATGAAGGATTCCATCCATAGCAGACTGCCCAAAGAAGAAAATAATGAAGGATTCCATCCATAGCAGGCTGCCTGAAGAAGAAAACAATGAAGGATTCCATCCATAGCAGGCTGCCCAAAGAAGAAAACAATGAAGGGTTCCATCCATAGCAGGCTGCCCAAAGAAGAAAACAATGAAGGATTTCATCCATAGCAGGCTGCCCAAAGAAGAAAACAATGAAGGATTCCATCCATAGCAAGCTGTTCAAAGAAGAAAACAATGAAGGATTCCATCCATAGCAAGCCGCCCAAAGAAGAAAACACTGAAGGTGACGGTCCCTAAGCAGGTTGCCATGTTGTCGTCGGAGAAGATAATGAGGCCATTGCTGTAGGAGGTCGGTGATTGGAGACTGATTCAATACCGCTGCTGCGGACTTGTGGAAGAAATAATATGGAGGACTTGATGTATGAAGGTTTAGCTACCTTTACTGCCATTAACCGAGCCCCTGATGTCATTGTTGCTATCTGAGACTAATTCCACCAGGCTGAGTTGCTGCCGTCCAGAGTTATTGAGCAGCAATATAATTTGAGGTTGAGTCAAGGAGGGGTCTATGGTGATAATCTGTTAGGAACTCGTCACTCTGCTGGGCGTTGCGCCTTAGAAGAAAAGATTTGGTTGATTGTTGATGTCATCACGTGGCTGCAATGCTCTTGAGTCTTGACGTAACAAGATGATGAAGGAAAAAAAATGTGGCCATACTGGATTCTTCTATATTTTCTCCCTGAAGCCAATTGGCTGAGTCTGAGATTAATTGCCACCACCGAGTTGTCCTTTTTTTTATATATCATTATTATTATTATTATTATTATTATTATTATTATTATTATTATTTTATTGTATTATTATTTTTCAATAACAATAATAATAATATTAATGACTTTTTCCCTTTTTTGCAGTACAAGATGATACAGTTTAGAGACATAAAGCGTGGAAACAAAAAGTATCTCTCTGTATCAACGGGCAAGAAGAGTGACGATGAGATTCTCTTAGAGGTGTATAAGCCATTTGCTCGTGAATTTTGGGGCGCAACTGTTGTTTCCTACCGAATCACAGATTGGACTCCTGAGTGCGAGTATCAAGCTCAAACAATGCGGACTTTAGTATCTGGCTTTCCTCACAAGCCATCTTCTGCAATTCTTCCTTCTTTGGGTAGGCGTATCATTGATGAAAACCTCCCTTTGACAAAGTCCTTATCATTTGGTGGCGAGTTTAGATTCGTCACAGGTTATTGGGACTAGGCCGAAGACGTTTTGAGTTTGAGTAAAAACGTTCTGGAGGAGGGGCTTATTTATGATGCCAATTATGCCTCTTTGTTCACGTATGATCGGTGTATGAATGCTATGCAAGCATTTTGTGAGGCGTGGTGTCCGACAACGAATACTTTGCTTACGTCAATTGGCGAGTTGACGATCACACTTTGGGACTTGCACGTTATTGGAGGGTTGCCTATCATAGGAGATGCCTATGATGAATCTATTCCCGGCGCTTCCGATTTGTTAAATAAGAGCAACGACCGTTCACTTCAGCTCTGCAAATATTTGCTTCACGCATATCATTATCTTCTTACGAAAACCGAAGATAAATGTGTTTTGCGTGTCCATGCGTGGGTCAAATTCTGGTTTAAGAAGGCCTCCAAATATACTATGCCCCCATTGAGAACCGAAAAGAAACGAACATCTCGTGCTAAGGCGACCCATAATCCGAGTGGAGTTATTCCAAAATGTGGAGGGTGGTCGAATTCTACGAGAGTACCTTTTGACGTATTAAAGATTCCTGCTGAATATGAGGAAGAGATCTATTTGGCGGCATTTTTATCATGTTGGCTTTGTGTATTCGTCTTGCCGCATGAAAGTCCTAGAGCTATTCGCCCAGAAACTTTCAAAATTGCTTGCATGATGGCTCAAGGGAAGCAGATATGTCTTGCAGTCCCAGTTCTCGCCAGTATTTATCATGGGCTCAATCAGATCTCTAGTGCTCCGACTCCTTATCAGGTTAGAACATGCTTTCCTGTTCACTATGTTTATGGGTGGTTGGCATCATACTTTGATACACATTTTAAGAATGAGATTCAGTCCACGACGCCATCGATGATTTCTTATTCGGGAGAAGGTGGAGCGAGATCTCTTGAAAAGAGAGGCGCGCGCAGGAGAATTTTTCAGGGAGATGTATCGGCATGGGTATGTTCTACGCATCGGAGAATGAAAGAATATACATTCTTTGATGGAAATAATCCCCCAGAAGTTGAATTGGCGCTTTTTAGAAGTCTTCGGTCTAATTACCTCATATTACGCTATCAAAATCATTGTATTGCCGAGCCTTACACTCCTCATCGATTTGGTCGTCAGTTCGAGTACTTTCAAGCTTATGCGCCTGGTTTTCTTGAGAGACATAACCGACGTGTTTCACTTTCCGATGGATCTCGATTTTGGCTACAATTTGAGCATGGCTTGTCTGTGGCGAAAGCAGTGTTTCCAACTCCTCCGACTCTTCCGGCAAAGTATTATTCCTTGGAGTATAAAGAATGGTGGAATCAAGTTCACGGTAACTACCTCGAGAATCATGTGAGTGATTTGATTAGGATTTGCGAGCTTGCTGTTGGCGATGTGATCACCCCTTCGGATCCCGTGACTTTAGTCTCCAAGAAGAAGAAAAAGGTACCTGATACTGAAGCTAGGTCTTCGCCTCAGAAAAAGGCCAGGCTTGCAGCACCTAGGACTGAGGTTTTGATCAAGGATGCTGAGAAAGAAACACCTCCTGCCAAGGCGAGTGAGAATCAAGTTCTTGAGAAGCAAAGTAATGATGATAGGAATTGGAAGCATCTCCAGAGAAAACCTCATCCTGGGCCACTGAGGGTTAGTCTCATTATTTAACAATTTAACTTAATCTCAAACTTGGACTTATAGTTTCTTCCTTCTTTTGCAGATTCATCCAATCCTTGATGATGTTAGTTCTTCAAATCATGTTTCTTTATCTAGCTCAAGTGAAGGAGAAACTGATGATCATGACACCGTCGCGGGGTTAATGGCAAAAGCTGCCCCGAGTAATTGCAAAGAAGTTCCAACCAATAAGATACCGAAATCCCCTCATGCAAAACCGGCTATATCCGTTTTCCAAGCAGAGAACTACTTCTTTACTTTGTATAAGCGGTTCGTCATTGAAACTTGGGGCGGTATTCAAGAGAAGTTAAAAAAAGCTACAGCAGAGAACGTTTCTTCTCTTCGAGAGGATGTTCAGAGTTGTGTTATCCTGATGGAGAAGGACGGTATTGACCTTTCCATGTTGAAGACAAGAGTGAAGAATTTTTTTGAGAGAGCACAAGCATTTGATCAAAAGTGCTCGATTGTTGCTGACAGGGTCACTACGGAGAAGCAGTCTCGGGAATTGGCTATGTCGCAAGCTTTTTGTGCAGATATTAAAGCTAAGAGATCTCAAAATCAAGTCGCATTACTTGATGATGAGAAATCTCTTAATGAAATAAAAAAGAAGATAGCCTTATTGGAAGCTGAAGCTAAGGAAGTAGAAGTTTTGATTTCCCAGCATCATGCAGAGGCTAGTGACTTGGATGCAGCTCTTACGAAGGCCAAGGAGGAATCTTCACGGATTTTGAAGACTATCGAAGCATCAGACGAAGATCAACTTGCTTTAAGTACCCAGAGGAAGGAGCTAGAGGCTTTGAAGGATGACTTAGTCAGCTTTAAATTGTTTTTAGACTGAGTTTGTTTTTACTTGTTTATAGATTAGCTTTTTAGTCGGCCAACACTTTCCTTCTTTTCTTTTCATCAAACTATATATGGATATATATTTGATTGCTTTCTTGCTCCTCATGAGTTGATATCGTCTTACTTTTCCTTTTTTTTTACCAAGATCAAACTTTATTGGGGTTTGTGTTGTTATAACTGAACTCAAAAATGAAACTTTTGAGCTGCCTACGTACTCCTATGAAGGAGATCAAGTCAAACGTAGTTCATAGTACCATTTGAATAGGTAATTTAGAGGGGCGGGGTGTCGTACACAGTTTTAACTCATGCGGGCCAGGAGCTTGCCGTACACATTTTTAACTCTCGTGGGCCAAGAGTATCTATGATTATGCTCACCCATAGACAAAGTGAGATGTTTTAGCAGTTTAGCCACTTACAACATCATTGGTGGTGTAAGCCATTCAACATTTCTTATGGCCATATGCATACCCCAAATATCAAGGGTAGTAGAGCTTTAGGAATCTCCCATTGATCGGGCCAATCTTTGAGCCGTCTGCGTCGACCAACTTGTAGGCACCGCCTGAATATACTTCTTGAACAACATAAGGACCATCCCATTTAGGCGAGAACTTGTGTCCAGTTTTCCTTGTAATAATGATAGGTCTTCGCACAGCTAGAACTTTATCACCAACTTGGAAAGAACGAACTCTAACTCTCTTGTTAAAAGATCTTGACAAACGTGCTTGATAGCATTCTAGGTCTTGCTGAGCTTCTAACCTCTTTTCATCAAGTGCCTCGAGTTCTGTCAACCGCAACTTGACGTTTTCTTCATCAGTGATCCCATCTTGAATAGCTAACCTCAAAGATGGTATTTGGCGCTCAAGGGGAAGAACTGCTTCGGTACCATACACCAAAGAATATGGAGTACTTTGGGTAGGTGTTCGATAAGTCGTTCTGTATGCCCATAGTGCTTCTTCCATTCTTTCGTGCCAATCTTTCTTCGATCTTGACACTACTTTCTTTAACAGGTTGCAGAGAGTCTTATTGAAAGCTTCAGCGAGGCCGTTGGCGGCAGCATAGTACATAAACTTGTTGCTAGAACAACTTGTTCGACTTTCGTTGCTTGAAGTCGAACAACTTGCATATCTTGTCCATCAACTTGTTGTCAAAAGGTTTCCCATTGTCTGTCAAGATATATCGGGGAATGCCAAAGCGGTAAATAATGTGGACTCGGATGAAATCAGCAACATTTTCCTTCTTTACCTCTTTCAATGCAACTGCTTCAGCCCATTTTGAGAAATAATCAGTAGCGGCTAGTATGTATGAATGCCCTCCTGATGAGCTAGGCGTGATTGGTCCAACTACATCAAGTCCCCAAGCGTCAAACGGCCATGATGCTACTGTCGGATGCAATGTTTCTGGTACTTGATGGATAAAATTGGCGTGATATTGGCATGCTTGACATCGCCGAGCATAATCCATGCAATCCTTCACCATAGTCGGCCAGTAATATCCCATCCTCTTGATGTGAAAGTGCAATTTAGGACCGGACTGATGAGCTCCACATACTCCGGAATGTGCCTCTTCCATTGCTTGTAAGACTTCGTCTCCACCCAAACATCTAAGAAATACACCATCGAAAGATCTTCGATAAAGTGTATCCTTATAGTAGATGAAACGTGGTGAACGCCTCTTTAAGTCCACTTTCTTGCGGGGGTTTTCCGGTAACTTCCCATCAGTAAGATAATCAATGAGTGGTTGTCTCCAATCTTCATTTTCAATATCATAAACCGATGTAGTTGGCATCTCGATTATCTCTTCGGCTGCACCATCTTCTCCGATGAAAGGAGGAATTACCCATTTTTGACATACCCGTACTTGAGTTTCATCGTCAAGATGTGCCATGTTTGATGCTAACCCTGCTAGTGCATCAGCTTGCTTGTTTTCTTTTCTCGGCACATGTTCAATTGTAACTTCACCAAGCCATCCAATGAGTGCCCTTGCATATTTTTTGTAAGGATGTAGTTCAGGCTTTCTGACTTCATAGATTCCAAGCACTTGATTGATGATTAGTTTTGAATCGCCATAGATGTTAACTCGTGTCTGCTTCATGTCTACAGCTATTTCAAGTCCGAGGATGAGTGCTTGATACTCAGCGACATTATTGTAGCATTGTTCCATAAGCATGAAAGCATAGGACAGAACTTGACCTTCGGGTGTAACAAAGACAACACCAGCTCCGGCTCCTTCTCTATGTGCAGCACCATCAAAATACATCTTCCAAGGAGGCAAAACTTCAATTATAAGCACATCTTCATCGGGTAGATCATCGGAAAGTTCCCACTCAGCAGGGATAGGGTGATCGGCCAGGAAATCTGCTAAAGCTTGTCCTTTCACAGACTTTTGTGAGACATAGACGATATCAAACTGTTGAAATATCAAGTACCACCTAGCAAGACGATCAGATAGAACCACCTTAGACATCACATACTTCAGCGGATTCGCCCTAGAGACTAGATTTATAGTGTGAGCCTCGAAGTAGTGTTTGAGCTTCTTGATTGCAAATATGAGAGCCAAACACAACTTCTCAATGGGCAAGTACCTCAATTCATGTGGAGTCATCATTCTGCTTAAATAATAAAGGGCATTCTCCTTTCCTTTATCATTTTCTTGAGCTAAAAGAGCTCCCACAGACCTTTCTTGAGCTGCAATGTAAAGTATCAAAGGGCGGCCAGCAACGGGTGCATTTAAAACCGGTGGTTTCATCAAATAAGCCTTGATATTATCAAACGCATTCTGGCATGATTGGTCCCATATGAAAAGCACACCTTTCTTCATAATTCGACTAAACGGCTGACATCTTCCCGATAAGTTCGAGATGAACCTTCGTATATAAGCCAACTTCCCTTGCAAACTCTTCAACTCATGAATGTTCCGAGGCTCAGGCATATTCACGATAGCGTCAATCTTGGCTTGTGTTGGGTGTGTTTCGAAAAACTAAGAAAATAATTAATAAAATTAATTAAATAAAATGACTTAAAGGAAAAACGAGAAATGAGATGAAGCAGAACAAGCCAAAGCTCGTGCCAAGCACGATTTCCTTAAAACGTATTCGTTGCCTCACGGGGTGCTAGGAGCGTTGCAACGATCGTTTCCCAGGATACGATGACTTCGAACAATAGTTTAGCACTCAAACTAAAGTTCCAACGAACGAGAACAAGGCTTAGAACACAGATGGAATTTCGGAAGCTGGAGGTGTTTTTCTAGAGCTCAAAAACTGCGTGAGTACATTTGTGAGTGGTGTGTTGTTGCAAATCACCTGCCAGCTACTTATAGGAAGGATTTGGAGGTGTGTTAATGGAGGTTTAATGGATATGAACGTTGGCAATCAATGTCCAGCTCGTTGGCATTGATTCGTCCAAAAAACCGTCCATTTATTGCAAAGGAACGTTGGGCATTTATGGCGTTGTAACGCCTCAGCAGCTGCCTGCTGTGCTGTGGAGCCAACTGCTCGCACGGAGCAGCAGCCTGCTGCGGAGCCAGCTGCTCGCACAGAGCAGTAGCCTGCTGCAGAGCCAACTGCCGAGCCTACTGCGGACGTAGCAGTGGTCTGCCCCAACATGGAGCAAAAATTAGGAAACTAACGGAGGAACAAAAATTAACGTTTATCTTTAGAAGATAGAATTTTCGGACGACATTCGTGTCCGCAGGTCGCCCGCGCACGCAAGTCGGGCTTTTTGTTCTCCAGTTTCGGGATTTGATTCGCACCCCCCCCCCCCCTGCGCGCGTGGAGAGAGCCTTTACCCTAAGGAATCTTAACTCCTTAAGGGGGGTTTCCCTCTATAAAGGGTTCAAATTCCCTTGGGTTTTCCGGTGTGGGAAAACCACACTAGAAACCCATCATTTTCCTAGTTTTCTCCATTCCAACGGGTAAACTTCGAAAAGCGATTTCTCATTCACCCGTTATCCGTTTTGAGCGTACCATATATCGAATTGTAGCCCTAAGTAAGGACAATCCGAAACCACTTTGACCCGACCCAAATTGGAAGTGGACCCCACTCAAAAAATTGCCCCAAAATGACCATTTAATGCAATTTCAACACACTTTTTCCAACAATCCCCCACATGAATGAAAATTGATTTTCGAGACTTAAAAAAGACACGAAGATAGGAGGACACGTTGTGTTCACCGGATGATCCTTGCGTACGGAGAGGTAGGTTTAATCCTTTGAACCTTCCGCTGTAAAGACACGTTTATTTACTGGCTGTTTAGTAGACTCGATGTCCTTGAACTATACTGCCGTCGTGTAAACATTGACTTATCTTTACACAAGAACCTTCCAACTTTGTTCCGTTCTCATGGGTGTGCCCGTTTTGGCCATGGGTCACCGTCCTGGTTCTGCAAGAGTTTCTAAAGAACTGAGCCTTTACAGTTCTCCTTTGAAGCGGCCCTCTTCTCTCTCACATAGGTGATTCTTTCACGAGTATCCCGCATACTCTTCCAATGTTATCGAGTAGATCAACATTTTAGAATCATTAAAGCAAACATTTTTGCTAACCTCGTGCGGGAGTCACTGTTTCAACGAGGAGTGGGTAGGAGTCCGGGACCCCCACAGTGACTATCCTTCGCTCTATAATTTAGTTGTCCCATTTGAACCTTGGGCCAACTAGGTTGGGTATCCACTATAGAACTTTTCAATTCACGGGCTTTAATCCCATTCCTCGTGACAACTTCTCCAACAATTCTCTATCCAATGCCTTGGTTAGCGGATCCGCTATGTTATCATTTGACTTCACGTAGTCAACAGTGATAACACCCGTTGTGAGAAGTTGTTTAATGGTGTTATGTCTACGACGGACGTGGCTAGACTTACCATTATAGAGATTGCTCTGTGCCCTTCCAATTGCCGCTTGACAGTCGCAATGTATGCATATTGGAGGGACAGGCTTCTCCCAGCTTGGAATATCCTCGAGAAAATGGTGTAGCCATTCAGCCTCTTTAGTGCACTTATCCAAGGCTATTAGCTCAGATTCCATCGTGGATCTAGCTATTAACGTTTGTTTCGAGGACTTCCATGAAACGGCTGCAC